CGATACCGCAGCCAATTACCTGCGGTACGTGTCTGTACCGCGCACTTTGAATGGCTGCATCTGTACGTGATTGGCCGTTAAAAATGACAGACAGGAGTTGGAGTGTCTGTTAATAAAACAGAGCGCCTTCCAATACATATAACTACTGCATGATTTCTTTATCCGTTTCAGCTAAATGAGGGAAATTAAATCAGTCAGAATCAGTCAGAGTACCAATTGTAAAAATAACCCTTCTTCCATCCTTTGTTTAACTTAAAGAATTTATCGAAGAATTCCTTAATCACAATATCATCACTTAATTTATCCAGATACACAAATTCACGCCAGAGCCAACAACAAGCTATAATAGTGGACCATTTTTATGCATTCAGCTATATGAGAACCAAACCGAAAGTAATGCTCCGATCGTGCTTTGAACCGTCTGGGTGCAGCTCCCTACATTACAGTGCTCATTACCACTACAAGAACAATAGAAGATTTTTTTAAAAAATAAACAAATGTCAAAATGTTTCCAAAACGTCCACTTGTGATATTTTAGCTGCTTAGTTACACAATACCATATTAATTTAGATTTTACATCACATTTACTGTATCTTTTTACAATAACAGCAAGTGGTGTTCTCACTACTGTATGTATTCTTGGAAAAGAATTAAATGTTATAACTTTCAATGAAGTACAGAATATAAGCTTAATAATGTTAGAACAAGCACATTAAAGCCAGAACCCATGTAAATTACCAAGACAAAGACTTGATACATAAAATATTTATGCATAATTAAAATATTTATGATGAAGGTGGAAGGTTGTGTACTTTTGTCCAACTTGCTTTTATAAAATATAGCAACTTTTTAATGTTTAATGATTAACATGCTGTAATACACAGTTTAAAATTAAAAGTCTTACGAGTATACAACTTAAATTCTTAATTGGATAAAGATTGTCCCTCAGCAGTGATCGGGATTTGAAACCGGACGTTTTCTGGTGACAGCTCAAATGCTGTACATGAGACGTTAAGCTTTATTAGCTCCACCTGGCGGTGATTCCGGATACTATTATCATAACTGCAGTATGACACGTTATGACGCATTGTGATGCGACACGCCCACCACGTTTTACCGCAGCGTACCTTGCTTGTTTTGAATGGCTGTATCTGTAGACTGTTTTAATAGAATGGTCTGAGAGGAAGGCTGACAAAATCATATTAAAATTGAATTTCAAAGATTGTTTGGAAAATCAGAGGAGGGTAGAGATCCTTTATTCATATATAAAAGTGATTTGACTGGGAGTTATGTCTAAAACACTCTGTGGACACCTTTGGATTCACCCCAGGTAAGGCTCTGTAATATCAGCTATTTCCTAATGCAAAGCACTCCAGCAAATACAGACCTCAAAGACATTCTTCGTGATGCCAGGCAGGCCATAGTAGGCAATTCCAGTGCTACTGGAGCTCACACAGATCTCTCCCACTTCATCAGTGCAGCACAGGTAGGGTGTCCCTTCTACCTTCACCACACACACCAGTGCTGGAGACCCAGAGAGACCACACTCAAGTCAAGGCACTCACTATGTATAAGATTATTTTCACTGACCCACATATTGATTCACCTCTCCTACAACATTGGAATCACTAGTCTTTTTTTCAGGAAAGTTGCATCATCACTCTTATTCCCAATTTTTGGAGGGTTTGGATCAATATATCATCACAGCTCAAGGACTACACATTCTTATCACATGCCTGCTTTGTGGCTTTGTGTTCTCTTTTACAGCCTTAAAAAAAGTACTGACCCATAAAATTAATGTTCGATACAGACATTAGAAAATAAAAGGAGGTGAATCAAGGAATCTACTTAGGCAATAATATCCCAGAGTCAGTGTAAAAAATGGTCCAGCAGGGAAAATAACTGCTATTCCCCTGAGATAGTTATGTACTCAGGATCAGTGAATAGTTGATGGTATTTCTAATGCATGTTCTACATGATGGATGACATCAACAGAAACATAGTACGGTTATTTATCGTACCCTAGTGTGAACTCATGCTTCTCCCAGATGTCAAAGCCTGAGTAGGGAAAAGAGAATGACAAACCTCCTGGCATGACTTGGCCCACATCCTGCACTGTTAATACAGAGAGCTTCTCCTCAGTATCCACACGGATCACACCGTGGCTCAGCCCGTTCATGGACAGCACTGCCTTCCCTGGAGGGGGAACACCCATCTCCGGAGGTCTGCATCATACACAACATGAAGTTGGTTACTAATGTCTAGGATCTGCTCTCTTTTAAGTGTTGATCATTACAACAAAGTTCTTCAAGTGACAAAACTGTAATGAGAACTCTGACCACTGAAATTAGTTGCTCACTCTTAAATTCTACAGACTTCATTACAAAAAAACATCGCAAATGACAGAACAATTTTCACATGTTTTAAGACATGAAAATACATTTAATGTAGATCTATCTTGATCCTAAATTTTGTGGTACTTTCTGCAGTACTGAATCATGTTGGTGCACATATTTGTGTTTGGGAAAATTGGGTGCGCTTAGAGTTTCAAGCTCAAAATCTGCCTTTGCCACAGCTATGACTCAGTTTTATTGTGCTTTGTTTCTTGGATGAAACATAAAACTGAAGTCTAAGTCTGAGTGGCTTTGGAAAAGTAGCTGTTGATGTATAGTGCATCCAAATGTGTCTGCAACTCACTACAAAAGTTCCTAAAGAACACAATGCATTAAAACAGAAGCCTTATTTTATCAATGCGCTTTCTAGTTGTGGTGTACTACCTGCGGATGGCAACAGTCATGGCCTCGGAAGAGCTAGCACACGGGCAGATCACCTCAGGCCGCAGCCCCCGTACTTGGAAAACATTCAAGAAGGCATCGCAAGATGATATTGACCCTGAAAACACAAATAACTGGAGTTTAAAAGTTGCTTTTTGAAGACTTTGTGACAAAGAACACTGTACCTGCTTGGAAGAGACTGAGACACATTCACTGCGTGACACACAGCTACATGCTATGTCCTGTCTCCCGACATGTTAGTTAGCACTGACTGAAGGAACAGAGTGTCTTCACTGTCCTGCAAGCCTGTGGCTGGCTCAAAAGTCCCAAGAGTCAGATTTGCACTGAAAGCTGAGAAGACCCTGGTCAGCTAATCCCAGCCTTATCCTGGCAATGCTCAGTTTATTTTAGATGATTACACACATAATCCACGCAAGATGCTGTTACATCCAGACCTCAGAGCTCAATGTGCCTTCTGAAAAAGATTTGGTTTACTGGTTCCACTGGGAGCTTACTGACAGATGCCTTTCTTAAAACAAAACAGTTTTAAATTATATTGTGCTCTGTACACCTCCTAAGACAAATAACACAATATATGAAATTTCCTATTTCTTCACTGCATACATTTAATAAAAAAAACTTTATATAAATAAATGTTAATTGTATTGGGGGAATATTTGTGCAAATCACTGAAAACAGCCAAGCCCACAGGAGAATCTGTGATGGTAGTGCAGATGCATCCCTCTTTGGAAACAGTTAATGACCAACAACAAAGGAGTGTGTGTAGTTTGCATGTTACTTACAGGGGTTGGCTCCATCTGCAACAATTAGCATCCGCAGAGAACTGAAGCTGATATCCCGCTGGTCTCTCTGTGCTAGGAGGGACCAGTGCATGTCTCTAGACTTTACCACCGCAACACGTGCTGCACAAACACAACAGAAAAGCCAGTAATAACACTGACACAGGTTTTCTCCAGACCAGCCCTATTGTGTTCATGTTGCATCTATTTTTTAGTTATAAATGTTGCTATCGGAGTGCATCAGTTGCAATTCACATTCTTATTCCAATATTCAAGGCGTTACTCAGAAAACCAAATATAATGGGCATCATCCAAGGTGTTTGTTTGCTGCAGGTGGGATAAAAGGCAGTTAAACACAGATGGTCAATACAACACCTCATAACAAAACCCACTAGAAAAGACAAAGAGTGCAGGTTATTATTTGCATGTATGCTCCGATACAAAGACATTAAGGAAACACCAACACAAAAACAGCAGCAGCAACAATAACATAAAACTTTAAAAAAAGTCAGACAAGCAGTGTGAGAAGAAAAGAAGAAAAAAAAACACAATGGTAGGGGTCGAGTTCAGTAATCTGTGGTAGACACTGTCTCTAAATGTGGAAGTTCGTGCCTTTATGCTCCTATAACCCTTACCAGAGGGAATGGGAAAGGAAACTGAGAAAACCCGGGATGATTGGTATCCTTAGTAATATTTCCAGCTTTCCTGAGAAAGTGAGTTGTAGAAAAAACAAAGGGTGAAGCTATATTCCAATAATGGGCTAGGCTGACCTGATTACCCCCTGTAGTGCCTTTTGGTCAGACAACGAGCTGCTGCCAAACCACACTGTTAATACCACACGTAAGCACACTTTCAATAGCACACCTGTAAAAAGTAGTAAGATTAGTTGAAGAAAGACCAAATTTTTTCAACTTTCTAAGGAGGTGAAGATGCTGTTGTGCTTTCTTTGTAGCTCCAGTTATATGCTGGGACCACGTTAAAGATTAGCAATGAAGGTGCCCAGGAACATGAAACTGCTAAGCATCTCTACAGCCATCCCATTGATGTGAATAGGGGTGTCGTCCCCACTCTGATTTCTAAAATTGATAACCAGCTCTTTGGTTTTGCTGTCATTAAGGGTAAAATTACTGTCAAGGTACCACTCCACTAGGTTCCCGAACAGGTCATCTCATCATTACTGGTGATTTGGCCAGTTATAGTAATGTCACCAGCATAGTGGGAGATGGAATTGGAGCTATGTTTGCCCACATAACCATGGGTAAATGAGGAAAACAGCAAGGGGCTAAGCACACAACCCTGAGGGGCACCAATATTGATGGTCAGCATGGAAGAAATCTTTCCATCGATCCTTACAGTCTGTTGTCTACCAGTCAGGAAATCCATAATCCAGTTGCATAGAGAGGTGCTGACGCCTAGGTCTTTAAGTTTGCTAACTAGTCTGGATGGAACTATAGTATTAAAGGCTATACTATAGCTATTCAATGAGAATTTGAATTATCAATAATTAGAATGCTAGTCAATGAACAGCATTCTGACATATGTGTCTTTATCATCCAAATGAGCCAAGACAGTGTTAAGAGCCACGATGAGCCAAATAGCATCGTCAGTGGACCTGTAATGCCGGTATGCATACTGCAGGGGGTCTAAGCACTCAGGTACGACTGGCCTTTAAAATATGTTGCAGTATGGTATAATAGTGTTTTTTAAAAACACAAAGGAACGAAAGATTTAAAAACTGAAAGATTAAAAATCTATAAAAACCATGGCCAATTGGTCTGCACAGGACTTAAGGACCCATCCACGAATGCTGCCTGGGGGAGTCACCATTCGTATGTTAAAAGTTGCTCTGGTATCAGCCTCTGTGACATATACAGCTGTATCATCAGTGGCTAGGAACACTGGCACCGACGGTTCCATGATTCCCTTCTCAAACCAAGCCTATAGGCACTCAACTCATCCAACAGAGAGAAATCTGTAACAGTGGATGTAACACTGCTTATTTTAGCTTTATAGTTTGCAATTGTCTGAATACCCCCCCACATTTGGCGCACATCGGAAGATGCAGCTTGTATTTCTAGTTATAATGATATTGTCCCTGACAGCTCTCCAAAGGTCATATCTTGCCTTCTTATAAAGGTCCAGATTGCCAGATTTAAAGGCCTTCGATTATGCCCACAGCTTACTATGAATATCGCTATTGAACCATGGCTTCTGGTTAACAAAAAAACAAACTGTCTTTGTAGGCAAACAGTCATCCATGCATTTCTCAATAAAATCAGTGACGATTGTAGTGTATTGGTGCAGGTTTTCTGATTAACTTTTAAACACGGCCCACTCCATAGATTCAAGGCAGTCCTGCAGCACTTCACCTCTCTCCTTCGTCCAGTGTTGTACTGCTCTTGTTGACACATTCTCCCACTTCAGTTTCTGCTTGTAAGCCGGCAGGAGAAGCACAAGTCAGATCAGACTGTCCAAAGTCCGGACGAGGGATAGGTGGCGTCTTTGATAGTTGTATAGCTGTGACCAAGAGTATTCCCACCCCTTCTTGGGCAGGAGACATGCTGGTAATATTTCGGAACAACTTTCCGCGGGTTGGCCTGATCAAAGTCCCCCGCAACAATAGATATAGCATCGGGGTAGGCAGCTGTTAATGGTGGCATATAATTCTCTGAGTGCTGAGTTGTTTATCATAAGACAATGAGGACAGAGAGAAACATAAAAAGGACAGAGTAATAGAGGATAAGACTCAGAAAATAATAGGAATACCATCTCCCTCTCTTACTTTAAGCTTGTGACATGGATCGTGTTCTGATCATTCTAGGAGAAATGGTTAAGTATTCTGAACCTCATCGTTGAGAGAATTTGGATTCCTTTTTAGAACATTATGATTTTATGTATTGTGTAAATACAGACATTTTTAACTTCAAATAAAAAAAATCCTTATAGGAAGACTGATTCCCATCTGGTCTTGGGCAATCATGTTGTAGGAAGGGAGATTTAATTCTGAGTTGTACTGATTTCTTAGGATGGAGATAATTCTGTTTTCTATGTTAAGGGGTTTCATGGAGGTTTAGGTTTACAGCACTAGACTTCTTTTCTGCATGTATAGGATGTAGGCCCCTGCTTAGACATTGTGTGATGTGTAGTTGTATTTACTGTTAATAAATATGTGTTTGCCTTCTTTATGTTTGAATCTGTTTTTTTACTCTTTCACAAGAACTTTGCTAGAGACTATAAAGAACCCATGTGTCATTTCTCACATGCCCCATATTTTATTTACTTCTTAAGTACAACATACTTAACCACTCTATTATCACTGTTTCAGAACATACTAATATATATATATAACAGGTGCATTGTAAGCCAGACGCAAAAGACATGTACAGAGCTTGCTGACTCGGTACTGAAAAACCAGTATAGTCTGGAAATGCTGCAAGCATAGATGAAGCTACCGAATTACATAATCCCCAATAGGGGTCAAATACTCAAACAATTAATCTAATGCTGCCAAATATTTCCATCATTTTCCTCCTGTGCCTTTGCCTGGCTCACAGATATTTCCTCCCGAATGCACTCCCACCATCTCAAACATATGCTTTTAAACTCTAACACCCTATTCCTGTCTCCTCTGTGGACCTCCCTAATGACTCTACTAACACTCTCTTGCCCACCTACCCAGGACCACTGCTGTCACTCCTGACCTTCTCCTCTTCTAGTCCCAATACCTTTCACTGCACTTACAGTTTTGTGCTGGCTTAATGTGCTGATAGAGTTCCATGTATACACACATAATCATCATAACAGCTTGTTATGGGGGTGGAGCCTATCCTGAAATATATTGGGCACAAGGTGGGATACACCCTGGATGGGACACCAGTCCATCACAGAACACACACAGATATTAACACGGACACATTCACACCAGGGACAATTAACCTACAGATCCAGCCATTCAAAATGCACGGAGTACGCTGCGTCAAAATGCAATAGGCATGGCGCATCATACTGGATTATATAGCATGGAAATTGAAATATGATAATAGTATTTAGAAGAACATTGTAAATCCGCCAGGTGAAGCTAATAAATCTTAATGTCTCATGTACAGCATTTCAGCTGTTGCCAGAAAATGCCCGGTTTCCAATCCAGGTCACTGCTGAGGGACAATCTTTTTCTAATTAGGAATTTAAGTTGTATACTCTTTAGACTTTTAATAATTTTGAACTGTGTATTACAGCATGTTAATCATTAAACATTAAAAAGTCGGTATATATATAAGATTGCTCAGCTGGAAAAAAGTACACAACCTTCCACCTTCATCATAAATATTTTAATTATGCATAAATATTTTATGCATCAAAGTCTTTAACTTGGTAACTTACATGGGTTCTGGTTTTAACGTGCTTGTTCCAACATTATTAAGCTTATATTGTGTACTTCATAAAAAGTTATAACATTTTTTCATTTTTTGAGAATATGAACTGTAGTAAGAACAGTTGTTGTTACTGTAAAAAATGTTGTAGTGATTTAACATCACTTGATAGTAATATCAATATGGAGCAGTGTAACTAAGCAGATAAAATATTTTGGAAACATATTTTGGACATTTTGGAAACATTTTGACATTCTTTTTTTTTAAAGCTTGTATTGTTCTTATAGTGGCAATGGAGAACATACTGTACAGTATATTGAAACCGTACCATGACAGTGAAGGCGTATTACACCTTCAAGTAAGCCAGTGACTGTTGTTTATTATGTTGAGACGAGGTTGTGTAACTCTGCGAAAATTATTCTGTACACTGTACAGTTATAGAGCAGACACATTGTGTATCGCCTCATACACTTGTTAAAATGTTCTAACTTTGATGCGATACAGAAGATATTAATAGTATAAATAATGAATGACCTTGGACAGGCTGTAAGCTCAAAGTATTACTGTGGTCCACTTTCTTTGTAATCGTCTGCATCATTTTAACTAATTCACCGGTGATCACGTGAAAACATTTTGCCTGCCCTTTTTAGCTACAGCTTAAGTTGTTAAGTGGCACATTGGTGTAATGGCTTAGGCGTCTTGACTTGCATCCTGGAGGTCAGGGGTTCAAACCCAGCTGTCACCATGAATTTTCTTTTAACAAATAAAAAAAACTAAAATAGCAAATATTATGGACACTATATTGACATTTTTGATATTTCTAAATATCACAACATGTTTGAAGTTAAGTGATTTATTAATAACAAGGAATAATTTCAAACTGCTTGTATTTTAAAACTGTATTTTGTTCACGGTGATTTGGAACTCACTGTTTTCACAACCTTCAATTTATAGAAGTGTTACACCCCACTGTTTGTTATGTAAAATAAAAAGTTCTGCTTGGGGGATGGGATAAATTTTCAGTGCCATGCTCTGTTGTCATTGTTGCTCTTTAACATAAGGCAAACAGCATTCAAATGTCCTGTTTATTCTTAACACTTGTTTTTCTGTACTGTAGCCTTGAAACTTGAACAAACATGCCACATACATACAGCGCAATGTTGTATAGTTTTAAAGCCACTACAGTATAGCTTGTGGGTCCCAAAATGTCCCCTTGTAATATTTTAACTGTTTAGCTACATGACATGAATTATATTATTAATAACCTTTTAAATCTGAAGGGAGATCTAAAGGGATCTTAATACCCTTAATACCCTTTATTAATAGGGCGTGATTGTGAATTTGCGCCCTACCACTGTGTACATACAGTACGAACATGTTGTGATATTTAGAAATATAAAAAATGTCAATATAATGCCAATAATATTAGCTTTTTTTGTTTTTCGAAGAAATTTTTATTTGTTAAAAGAAAAATGATGGCGACAGCTGGGTTTGAACACTCAACCTCAGGTGTACAAGTCAGTTACTTAAGCGATCACTTAAGACTGTTAACTCGATCAGCCTTTTTTAATAGCCTTGCAAATACGTTCACACTGTAGGATATACACTCAACCCGCCACAGGTGTCACATTCACTGTACATGTCAAACCAGTTGCTTTCTGTTGCAGATGTGCTTTTATGCTCAGCTACTAAAATTTCCCTTTAGTTGTAAAATTCCATATAAATAATCAATATTAAGCAGATTAAAACATGCACAGTAAAGAGATTAAATGATGAAATCGTTTCACTAACAACGATGCATCAGAAGTGCTCCTGTCGGCCATTTTAGCCAGCCAATCACGTACAACACGGTGAACTGTAGATAATTTTGCGCAGTATGGGGTTGTACCATGCATTTTGAATAGCTGCATCTTTACCAGTCTTTGGGCTGAGGGAAGAAAACAGAGCTATGCATAACGTGCATAACTGTATATGCTGGAAATTGCCCTTGATAAGGGCATGTGCTAAGTAACAACAAATAAAAACTATTACTAGATTGGTTATTGTAGACATATAGATGAATTACTTTACTTGGTATTTAAATTATTTATTCGTGAAGTGTAAGACATTTAAATTATTAAACATCCTTCTTCATTAATGCTTTCATCAGAGAAAACATACAAGAATGTTTTGGTTCTATGAGGGAAAAGGTTCCATTGAAAAGAAAAGTTGATTAACACCAAAAGGCCATCACTTATAAAAGTTTCATTGCTTCATAATGTTTGTTAGTGACATTCTGTGAGAGGAAAAAAAATCAATGTTTACTACATAGGTACTCTTAACAAATTAACCTTAAGATGTAGGAAAAAAAGGATACTTATTGTGCTGATACATCCACGCCTATTACTTAGCTTTAAATATTTTTTAGATTATTGTTCAGGTATAGTAAATGAACAGGAGTGGTTAGAGATAAAAAATGAGAGCTGTCATCAAGGTAAGTTCAGACCTGCCTCACCTTTATAAGAGTGCACCTTCTGTATCCAGGAGAGGGGGTTGACTTTCATCAGAGAGTAGGGAATGCTTATTACGTGTATTCTGTTCATCACACTCTGCCACACAACCACAAGAACAGATTAAGGCAGTGCAAACACTTCAACTCAATTTCTCTGCTGCAGGATTTGTTATCGTCCTGCATCTATACAGGACAAAAGCAGGAATGTATTACTGCAAGGAAAAAGATACATTAATTTAAAGAAGAGCATGGTGTGGAACCTACAGTGGACCTGGTTTTGTTCTAACAGGACCCTTAATCACCATGTGATGCCACTGGTTTGCTTCTATATTTAGGCTTTTTCTCTGCAATCAGACCTTAGGTTCATACTTACCCTAAAATTATCTCAGCATACAGAACAGAAACCATGCAGTTTCAACTTGCTAATGAAGAATGATGCTCCTTTATTGTTGACTGAAAGACTTTCGGTAGATTATCAAATTTGAGATGAAATGTATCAAACATTCTAACAATTCACAATATGAATTGTTTTTTCTCTTTTGCTTGAGGTCCAATTCTTAGATTTTAGCTTATACACCTGAATAAGGGGAAGTCTCAAGATTTAGGGTCGATTACAAACCCCATACATCTTTTCAGAGCATAGGGAAAAATTAAAAACACACCTAAATTGAAAATTAGAATCCATTTGATTTTTCCATTTCAAAATCAAGAACTTGTTTGGAACAAAAAGAAGATAATCTTTTTTAGAAGGAGAGCTAAAAATAATTGCAGTTGCTTTTGCTGTGCTCCTTTTCTTGAATTGTCTGTTGAAAATACAACTGCACAGCTGTCATTTCTTGTGCTAGATTCCTGAATTTGTAATATTCTTCCACACCAGTTGTACAACATCACACAAAGAGCAGGTCTTGAAACCAGACATTGCCAATTCCACATCATAGCATCCCTGTTGTTTTCCAGCTTCAAGCAATATGATGAAAAAGTGGTGTTAGTCTAAAATCCAATGTGCTGAAAATGTGGTGATAAAAACATTTTTGCTGTTATTGTTATTAGCATTATTCCTAATGTCCTTTAAGACTGTAGACTAAAGAGTAAAAAATTATTATAAAGATAATAATTATTATACTGTGAATGAAGTAATGGTTACGACTCTGGACTACTGACTAGAAGATTGAGGGTTCAAATCCCAGACTGGGAGACTTTCACTGGACCCTTAAGCAAGATACTTCTCCAAGACTGCTCAGGAAAACCAAGATGAATATTTTAATAGCAAAAAGTGTAAGGAAATAAAATGGGCAATTTCTAACCTCCAAAAGCTGCTTTGGATAAAAGTGTCAAATAAATTCCATTAATTTATTTACTAACTGCTTCTTACAATTCAGGGTTGCAGGGGAGCCAGAGCCTATCCTGGCAAGCTACGGGCACTAGATAGGGTACGCCCTGGACAGGACGCCATTCCTTCAAAAGGAAGACACACAGACACAGACAAGCACACACTTACACCTAGGGCCAATTTTCCCAGAAGCCAATTAACCTACCTGTATATTTTTTGACAGGGGGAAGAAACCGAAGAACCCAAAAGTAACCAACATGAACATTTGGAGAACATACAATCTGCATGCAGATAGCACCCCTGGAATTGAATCCAGGGCTCTAGTGGACAGCAATGCTAACCACTGCGCCACTGTGTGCCTGTCAAATAAATTAAAAAATAATATTGAGCAAAGGATTTCTGTGGATCATTGTCACCATTTTGCTGATAAAAAACACACTGCTCACCGTAAGAACTCCATGCCACAGCCCAGCATCTCTCTTGAAATCCAGAACATTTGTTACAGTTTCAGCTGGAAAGGAGAAAATGTCACTCATGTTAGGAGAGCACAGCTGCAGCCACAACAGTATTCCGATGACTGGTGTTCTTCCATAGATGAATAATCATGGAAAAAAACAAACTTACCCTCAGAGTAACCGCAGGCCTGTGTAAGTGCATGACAGTGTGCCAACATGGCAGAATGAGAGACTGTGATTCCCATTGTACTGCCTTCCTTGCTGGTTTTGTACTGGAAGGGAAACAAAAAAGAAAATTACCTGGTGGTCCAACATAGAGAATTAGGCTTAGAGAATGGTCAATTCCTGTTGAGCTCTATACTATTTCATTGATAATTTTGTATTATGGACAATATTACCAAGGCAATTGATGGAAAACTCTATTATTGCAGAAAAATGTGAAAATCTTGAAATGCAAGCTACAGAAGCATAGCAAAGGATTACAACTGTTTAAGCTATGACAGAAACTGCTAAATCAGCTAAGGTTTGTCTACAAGGACTGGAAAACAGCTGCTGGAAATAGCCAATTGTCTCGATAATCTGGAAAACAGTGGGAGGCCTCCTAGAGATCGCAGAGAGAACCCAACCAGTCCAATTTTTGGACACCTGGCGGCCTAGGTTCCTGAAGATTAAAACCAAAACACGTCACATTAAGACTGAGAGTGCCCAAAGCACGCTAGCATTCAAGCCAGGTCCAGACCAGCAGCCATGACCTATTGTTATCAGATTACCCAATCACGTGGATCAGCAGAGTGATGGAAGCTTCAACGTCAGCGCGATAAATAGGAAATCTCTAATATATGAGGACTCGAAAGTAATGATCTTTCGGGTTGTCTCAACTGCAAAACTGTGAAAGTGCAAATGATTTGACGAGCCATACCTACAGAATATCAGTGTGGTTTACTCTCAGCTCGTCCCAGCCTCCCTGAAGATCACTCACAGTGGAGCTACTATGGTGTTCCACAGTCCTGCTAAAGCTATGTAATTTTATTCCATACTTGCTGGAATAAACAGGTGCTTAGAGCTGCTCGGTTTACCCACTGGACTCTCTGACAACAGCTGGATGGCAGGTCTGTATGTAATGTAGGCTACTGTTAGACGCGAGATAATCAAGGTTTTTATGTTAATTTACCCATTTACCCAGTTAGAATGTATTTGATAGAACACTAATTATTTGGTGCTGCTCAATGGGTTACAACATGGAAATATATCCAAGTTCTCTTTGTTGCAGAGAAAAGCCTCATTCACGTTTAGTTATTTTCTTAATTCCCTACGTAAGACATGAGGCTACAAGAGAGTTGTGTAACCCCAGTTAGCTTCCAGGGATGACTCTCATGCAAATTGTATTATTGTTGTCGGTATGTAGTTTTTTTCATATATTTTTCTGACTTCTGAATGTTTTGTATGCTTGGGAGACCTCTATGATATTTATGACAGCTATGCTCTTGGAATATCAAGGAGATTCATAAACCTATTAAATGGCAAATTCATCCTCACTAAGACAGCTACATCCCTACTCTTGGAGGCAAAAGAACAAAAAAAGACCTGTCCAAACCCACACTACTCTGGATTTAAGTGCTCTTTATCATCCAGATGAGTCTCCTGTAGTAGAGCAATATAAATCTTTTCTTTTTTCAGAATTCTCAATACCTTTTACTTTTTATATCCACTTGATTTTCTCACTTGTGCTTTTTCAAAAGTGTCTGATTTGTAAGTAGAGAATACATTGGGTGGAGGGGAATTTAACTGTCATTTGAATTCACTAATGGATAGATTTCCTTTGGTTAAATTGACTCAATGCTCAGTATGAAAAAATAGGTTATATAGATGTGTGGAGAGCTCTACACCCAGCAATTCAAGAGTACACCTTCTTTAATCCTTATAAATGCCACACTAGAACTGACTATTTTTTATGCTCCAAAAAGACTGCTACACATGGGTGTCTCTAGCTCAATTGGAAACATAGTTATATCAGCCTGTGGAACCAAAAGTGTATCACACCAATGAGCGAGTTACTAAGATGGTGCCATTAAATGGCTCTCACGTGTTATAACATGTAGCTCTCTCGTTTATGTTGTTTATTTTTGTGTTACGTTTCATTTTATATGCAAAAAATACATGTGTGACCATCACCAATGGCTGACAAACACTCCTGGATCTGATATTTAGAGCCTTTGATTTAGCTTCAGTGGAACTGAAAGTACTTTGCTTCTCAAGCACAGAGTAAACAGGGACATGAAAGCAAAAGGAAGTGGGGTCAGAGATGGGCCATGTTAGCGTGGCTCTGGCAAGTGCACCTGCTGGTCCCCGCTCCCCAGCATCCTGCTTGCAAACTTGCAATCGCTGGACAGTAAGATCGATGAACTTCACTGTTGCATCTACACTCAATGCGACTGGAGAGACAGCAGCATCCTCTGTTTCACTGAAACCTGGTTGAAAACCGACGTTCCCTATGCTGCTGTACAACCTGTAGGATTCACGCTTTAAAGAATTGCCGATTCTACCAGCAAGGAGAAAGGAGGTGGAGAGTGTTTCATGATTAATAACCCTTGGTGCACTGATATAGAAATTCTCTACAGATCTTTCTCATCAAATCTGGAATACCTCACTATTAAATGTCGCCCTTTTTACCCACTGAGGGAACTTACGTCTGTTATTGTAACCGCTGTGCACATTCACCTGCATGCTAATACTGAATAAGCACTCAGCGAGCTGTATAGCAGATATGAAAACATGAATCCGGAAGCTGTTTCTATCGTGGCAAGGGACTTTAACCACTGCAGCCTTAAAAAAGTACTACCAAAGTACTTTCAACATGTCTTCCCATTAGAAGCAATAACACACTGAATCACTGCTACACCACCATTAAAGGAGCATATTGCTCCATTTCATGGCTGCATTTCAGGAAGTCTGACCATTCCCCTGTGCTTCTTCTTCCTGTTTACAAGCAGAAGCTAAAGATCGTGCCCCCTGCAGTAAAGACCATGCAGTGCTGGTCAGATTAGAAAAATAGCTTGAGTGTGACAGGGCTTGCAGGCTATCACGAACTATAAAGGCAGCACCAACAGTATTTCCTCCATTGATGCATCTCTACCAGATGAACACTTTTCACTCCCATTTTGAGGCTTAGAACACCAAGCCCGCTATCAAGGCTCCCAGTGAACCAGGGAACGTTGTGTTACAGTTCTCTAAACATGAGGTGCATTGAGCCTTTAAGAGATTAATAGATGGTACCTTGACAACAATCTGGCCCTGAATGTCAACAAGAAAAAATAACTCATTGTGGACTTCAGACCCAGAGGGTCACACCCCAATCAGCATCAATGGCACAGCAGTGGAAACTGTCATCTGCTTCAGTTTTCTCAGCCTGCAGATCTCCACCAATTTGGCTTGGTCTCACAACACTGTAGCCAGTCTGAAAAAGGCACAACAGCGTTTGCACCTTCTGCGGTGCTTAAAGAAATGCAGTATGGGGAAGCGGCTCCTCATGAACTTTTACTGCAGCACCATAGAAAGTGTCCTCACTAGTGGCATCACTGTGTGGTACAGCAATACTACCATGCATGACAGAGATGCACTTCAAAGGGCTGTAGCAACAGCACAGAGGATTACCAGATGTGATTTACCATCAATCAGTGAGACCCACATCATCTGCTGTCACAATAAAGCCCAATCCATCATTTAGGATACCAACCATCCCAACCACAAACTGTTCTCCCCCCTACCCTCTGGCAACCAGTACTGCACTATTAAAGCAAGAACCACTAGACTCAAGAACAGCTTCTATCCCACTGCAGTACATATCCTCAACAGCTAACTGCAGTGCCTAAATACACACAAATGTACACACACTTTTTGTATGGTCTACCATGTTTTTGTTTGGTCACACTACGACATATTTATTTTTCTACAACATATTTATTGTTCATGTTGTCTACATTGTGTTGTGTTGTCTGTTGTACAGTGTATTGTATATCCCTAGAGATCAGCGTGATTAAGAATTTCAATGTACGTGTACATATGGCTACAAACAACTCTAGTACTCTACTATAGAACAATCTAGACATTGAACATATGATCATTCCATGCTTAAAGATCATATAAATATGTAAAGATAATTTTACTTCCTATTTCTCGTCAGAATTTAAATAATTTTTGTCTATCAGTGCCCCATCCACTGATAACCGATCTCTATTATAGGAGACTTGTAAGTCCTTTGAAAAAAGTCTTAATATGTCCTATATTGCCAGCAAGAAGTGTAAAAACTTCAAACATATATTACAGTCAACGCTTAGCATTGCTGAAAAAGAATATATTAAGAGCCCAAATTCAGACCGATTGTAATACATTTTTGCCCTCTGTTCTGCACTAGATTCCCTTTTGACAAAGAATGTAGAAAGAAAACTAAGATTTGCCAAGCAAATGATATTTGAACATGATGAAAAATCAAGGAAATATTTAACATTATACCATAAAGAAGGGAGATTAACTAAAATTATTAATGAAAAGTTCAAGACCTTTACGAATCACTATAAATCAAAACTGCCTGGCAAAACCCCAGAATTAATGGAAGCTTTTTTCTCTAACCTAGAACCAAATATATCAACTGACCAGAATTCTGTCATTATTGCTCAGATCTCTAATTTTTCTAATTCCCAATCTCTAATTCCCAATTTAATTAATACAATGTTGCCTTATCTGGTTATAAAATAACTTTTCTAAATCTGAGGCCATGCCACTTTGTGGCCTGCAACTACATAATACATACATAATAAACCCCTTGTACTTGGTCGCATTCAGGATATGTTTACTTCGGTATATCTGTCACACCTAGATTTAGTCAGATGTTTAAGGCTATTCCCCTCTTTGACAGAATTAGGCAGGATCAGGCAGTGTTGTGCCTACCAGTAGCCATATAACTTATACTAGGAAAAGGCTTTACAATATGCTAACATTATGTTAGCATTCATTTAAAATAAGATGCCTACTATAGTAAAATGACATAGGATTATGATGTACTATGTGCCTTTAGATTACTTAACTTCTAACGTCTATAACACACAAAACGTCATGTCTTTCATAATATGTGGGAATCTTTCTTAGCATATTTAGCATTAGTCCAGACCCCTCAGTCATATTGACAAGAGGACTTGTATAATGTAATAACAAAGCTTGTATTTATTTTGTATTTTCTGTCTGCTGAAGCTATGTACTCTGTAGTTATAAAGAAATCATGTGTACTTGACCCCCAATTTCTTTTTTCTTTTTATTCTTGTTTGTTTGCACCTTTTTTTTATTTGCTAACATAGTTAATTAATTAGTTAATGTTAGTTAGTTAATTAACATTGATAATAAACATAGTTAAAAATGAATATTATCTAACAAGTATGTACTAAAAAAGTCAGTACATCATCATGTTGTATTAGACTTTAAATGAAAGTCCCTAAACTGTAATCTGCTGTTCACTCAAATGTAACGCAATTATTGTACTCAACACTGTAATTGTAATTAGGCAATATTGCCTAATGTAAAAATGAGGCAGTTTTGTATGACAAATCATGGCTAATGGCTTATAGTTAATTCAGTTAATTCATATTCAAGACAAATATGGTAAAATATTTAAAAAATGTCAAACATGAACAGGGAAAAATTATATAGACCTCAGAATCAACCTTTTCTTTACATTTGAATCAACCAATATTAACCACCACAATACAAACATGTATTAATGTGCTGTTGAAAATTGATCATCACATTGTGGCTTTCACAGACCTAAAATAAACTATATAAAAGGCTTTTGAAGGGCTGAATAGACTTCTGGACTGGCAACTCTCTGCAGACCCACCTCGATATAGGCAATGTCATTACTTGCATCTTGGATAGGGGGATGCCAGTCTTTTGGGGGCTTGGCCAGGTGTTTCCCATCTGTCACAAACCACAGCAACCGAGGCCAGCCTGCAGCCAGGAAGAAAAACTGAGGCTTATTTGGAAAACATTTGTCACTATTGAAACCTCATAGTTGTTTTTTTTTTACTTCCACCTAAGGAGGAATACAAACACAGTTTATGAAACCTGACATAAGGCCTTCTGAGAGTCCTTACAGGAAGTTGTTTGAATATTTCCTTTAGAAATACTAGACCTTATTTTCCAAATGAAGCAGGAATCTTTGCCCAGTGGCAAGTGCTTTATGAAACTGTAAATTAAGCAAAGTGCTGTGAATTAAAAGTACATCTCAATAAGCGGCAGAGTACAGGGCTGGTATGCTAAGCCCGACCAGAATTGTCCTTTTAATTTTTAAAAAACATTTAGCAAAAAGTACACTTGCAAGGATACTGTACTGTTTCATCTTATGTATTTACAGATGTAGCCATTCAGAATGCACATTTAAACCCCGTAACGCATCATTGGGGCAATACTTTACTGCAGCATGTGGTTCACTGGTCAAAGATGATGACAAGTGGCACTTGATTGCTTCATTTAATCTTTCTACTGTGCATATTTAAATCTGCTTAATATGGAATATTAAATGGAATTTTACAACTAAAGGGAAATTGTGGTAGCTGAGCATAAAAATAACAGGAGCATAATCTATATTATACATACTGTATACTGCTGGTAGTGGTAGCTAAAATAAAAAATAGACAACATTATTCCACAATATTTTATGCATCAAAGTCTTTAACTCTGTCACTTGCTGTGGTTAATTTGGAAAAGTTTTGACATGCTCATTCTGACTATATTAAATTTATATACTTTACAAAAAGCTATATTTTAACTTTTTCTATGAAAACTCGCTGTCAGTATTGTAGTTAAAAAACATGTCCTTTTTAGAATCCACTTGATAGGGAATATGACATGGAATTGCGTAACTAAAGAAATTAATAATGATATTTTAATATTAGGATCTAATTTTAATTACATTTATTCTATATTTATATAGCTGGTACTATTACTGTGTACCACTTTCTTTATCAACATCTGTATCAATTTATTTGATTCATTCACTTTTGATTACTTTGGAAACATATTGACCTGTCTGTTTCAACTATGTTTCCAAGCAGCACATTGGTACAGTGGGTTTGGTGGATAGTTCTCCCCCCTGGTGGTCCAGGTTTGATTTCCGCTTAGGGCATGAGTTTTTCTTCTAACAATTGCCTCTTTTTAAACTTGTAAGAACATTCCAATGCATTCCAATTTTAGCATCAATCAAAGCATTCTGAAGTCTGTCAAAATCGTAAAAAAGAACATTCCAATGTTAATGCGACACGGAGGATATTAATAACCTTTCAAATCTGAAGCTGTTGACTCTACTTCACACCTGCATGTCAAGATCACGGTTTTAAAAAAAAAGAAACATCAAACCTTTGAATGGATGAGAACGTCATGATTGTTTCGCAAGGATGTGAAATGTGACAATTTGATACAGTTACCATAAGGAGAAAAAAAAGTTTATTTTTTATTTTTGGCTGCTGCAGTGGCTTGCAGTGGGTGGATAGTTAACACTTCATACTCTTTAGTAAAAAAATTATAAAAATGACAATGTAAACGTCATATTTAAATGTAAAGTTCTCTAAAACTTTCTCAGTCAAGAATGAGAATTAATGTAGGGAGCAGTGTAAGCATGCGTAGGCAGCAAAAAATCTGCTAAAGAGGGAAGAACATGCTTTCAGAGAAAACAATGTTTCAGGTATGAAGAATACAGATCCACAATTCAATTGCAGCCTAACCTTTCCTCCCACACCCTGCCCCCGCTGTGATTGGAATATACACAAATAAAGCACTGAAAGCTTTATAGCAGATGATCAGGTGTTACGCAGACGTAGGGATAGTACGTAATTCTGGCTTTATGAACTCACAGCTGGGATTCGAATAATTCAAAATAAGTTTTTTTTTTAAACTGCACCAGGTACCAGATTTTGTTTGTATTCAAGTTTTATCACAGTGGTGGACGGTTAGTGGACGGTGCGCTTTTTTGTCAGCAACCTGCTAATCTGCTTAACACCTGTAGAAAACATGATTTTATTTCTGTACAGAAAGTGGAAAAGTGTCCTTCTTTAAGTTGGATTGCATGATTATTGTTATTATTTCTCTATTACTATCGAATCCATCAACTCGTTCACTTATGATTATTTTGGAAATATTTTGACATGTTCCTTTTAACTCGGAGTTTGTAATGTCGGGCGCTCTGAACGAGTTAAGCTTTGATGCAGTACAAATAAATGTATTTCCCACAAGCTATACTGTAGTGGCTTCAAAAGTATATAACATCACGCTGTTTGCATGTTTGCAAAAAAACGGGACATTTGACTTTATCAAAAATAAAATACAATGACGTGTTCCTGCCCAACTCAAACACTGCGTGACTTTAAAAGCTGTAAAAAATGATTTAGATTGCAGAAAGTCACCTTGCTCTTATAAGCAGCTCTGTTAAGCAGAGTTTGTGTTAACTCATCACACCCTTTGAATGAGTTTTAATCAGCTTCGTCTGTTAGCGAAAAAAATGACTGTGGGCACTTTCACTTCCCCCCTGGTGCGACGAGACAATGCAGATTTTTTATTTTACTGGGAGTGTGAACATTGAGTGAGCACTGGGGATACAGTGAGACTAACACAGTGAGGTTACCGAGATTATATTCTTGCAAGTACATTTTGTATTCAGTTTGCTAGCTGGTGTGTTAGCTAGTGGGAAAATGTTCAAAGTGAAAATTCATCCACAAGGGTTGTACCTTTAAAGCAGAGAAGACCACACCAAACGTTTCGGCTCTTTATGTCGCTCAAGCCATTTCTCTTTGACGTTTTCTGTCATAGAGGTGGGAAGCACCTCCCCCCTCCCCCTTTCCTCTTCCTGCCTCACCTTTTCCCATTTTTAACCTTTCTGTGTCTGAATCGCAGCGGGTTGCAGGCTCTGTGTCATTTGTTCACAAAGTTATAGACATCTGAAACATTGTGTCTCATAAATGGGTATTTTAACAAACGAAGCTTATGAAAACTGAAGAAAAAATTACACACTGAAAAAGATACAAGAAGCTTGAAATTATTATTATTAAATTAATACTGTTAATAATGACCAGACACATTATAGTTTCAGTGGTATTTTTAATATTTCTTTGTTATTCTCGATTCTAATTACAATATATATATACAATTTCGTTTTAAGGCTTTAAGGTCATTTAAATTGCCCCACTGAATAAAGTGTTTTGAATTAAACCAGTTGAACAGTTGATCGTATTCACGTTTGCTATTTCACGTTTTTATTTAATTATTTGTATAACATAACATTGAATATGTTATAATATATATACAAAAAAAACATGTCAATATAGTGTACATAATACTTCATCATGCATGAATGAGTCAAATTACAAATAAAATGTGTTTACAAAGAAAGTGGATTACAGTAATACTACCAGCTATATAAATACATATAATTAAATCCTTAAATGAATATCGTTATTCATTTCTTTAGATACATATTATATTCCCTATTAATCAAATTCTAAAATGTATGGGTTTCATTTACTGCAATAATGAGCACAAGTATTCATGGAAAAAGTTAATCACTTAACTCACTTAACTTTGAAAGTGTTGTGATACTTAGAAACATCAACAAATTCAATATAGTGTCAATAATATTTACTATTTTGGTTTTTCAATGAAATGTTTATTTGTTAAAAGAAAACTCATGGCGACAGCTGGTTTTGAACCCCCGATCTTCAGCATGCAAGGCACACACCTAACCCCTTACTCCAACGTAGCACTTAACAACTTTACAACTGTACAGTATGTTACCATTAACCACTATAAGGACAGTACAAGCTTTAAAAAAAATTAATGTCAAAATATTTCCAAAATATGTTTCCAAAATATTTTAGCTGCTTAGTTACACGACTCCATATTAATATTACTATCAAGAGGTATTAAATCAGTACAACTTTTATGAAATTCAAGTATTCTAAACGTTCAATTAAAAAGTAGTTTTTAACTATCTAAACCCTTTTTTACAGGTTTTAAAGTCATGCAATGTTTGAGTTAGGCAGGAACACGTCATTGTCTTATTTTTTATTTCATTTTTTTTAAAAAACCTTTGCCCATCGTGTTGATCCGCTGTTCTCCAATTACTGTAATTGTAAAAAAACACTCCCCCCTCCCTTGTTTAATGGAATTAAGAAATGCTTAAACACAAAACCATCATGTGTCGATTTAAGTGTCCTTCTTTCAGTTGGGTATGCATGATTAGCAACATGTGGTCATTGTTATGATTTCTCTATTATTAGCAAACCCCTCAACTCATTCACTTGTGGTTATTTTGGAAACATTTTGACATGTTCCTTTTAACTACATTGCTGTCGATATTGTAGCAATAGACAAAATGAAATGCTTGGAGTTTGTAATGTAGGGCGCTCTGAACGAGCTAAACTTTGATGCAGGACAAATAAATGTATTTTCTACAAGCTATACTGTAGTGGCAGTACAGTAGCAGCTTGAATTTATTTGTTGTTATCAATAAATCACTTAGCTTTGAACATTTTGTGATATTATAAATATAAAAAATATCAATATAGTGCCCATAATATTAGCTATTTTTGTTTTTCAAAGAAATGTTTATTTGTTAAAAGAAAACTCATGTCGACAGCTGGATTTGAACCCCCGACCTCCACCATGCAAGCCAGAACAACTTAAGCTGTAGCTGCAAAGGGCAGGCAAAATGTTTTCACGTAATCACGGGTGAATGAGTTAAACTGATGCAGACATTTACAAAGAAAGTATACTACTGTGATAATTTGAGCTATATGAATATAATTATAGCATTATTAATTTCTTTAGATACGCGATTCCATATTATATTCCCTATTAATCAAATTCTAAAAAGTATTTTACTTTTTACTGCGATAACGAGTGCAAATATTCATAGAAAATGTTAAAACATTATAACTTTTTATGAAGTATATAAACTTCATATAGTCAGGAGGAGCACATTAAAACATTTCCAAAATAACCACAGTATGTAACCGAATGAAAGACCTTGATGCTTAAAATGTTTAGGAAGAAACTACCAATACCAGCCATATACAGTTTACATAATATGTTCATTTTCCAAAATTAATATCGTTTATGACCTTCACACATGTTATGCTCCTCTTCCCTTTATGCTTAGCTACTAAAATTTCCCTTTAGTTGTAAAATTCAATATAAATATTCAATATTAAGTGTAGATAATTGCGCGTGGTACAGAATTGTACTGTGCATTTTGAATGGCTGCATCTGTATTATGTTAAATTGGTTTTATTTTCCACTACCAAAATTTACTTTTTAACGTTTCTCGATACCGATGTAAACCTGAAAGAGGCACATTGCGTTCACAACAAGCTACAGTATAATAATAAACTCATCTATCCAACTAAGTAAATTTGTTTTTATAAAATAGGCCTACTTTTTAATTAATTTAATATATTAATACAGTTTAAAATTAATAAAAGTCTAAACAGCATACAACTTAAGTTCTATAATTGGAAAAAGATTGTCTCCAAAAAGGGGGCTCAGCATTGATCGAATTCGAAACCAGGAGTTTTCTAGCAATAGATATAATACTTCCATACGCCACATTAAGCATTCACTGTCCCAAAATTTTTTTTTAAATGGTTGCATTACTGTGCGGTGGAGCATGTGCACCGCAAAGTGATGCAGTATCCAGCACGCATCCGGAATGGCTGGATCTATATATAATATTATTTTGTACCTTGCCACTGTGTTTTTTACATTGATTTCCTCACAGATTTATTCTTGGTCCAAGTACCAGCTAACAGGTTTTATTACAACTACAACTTGCACAAATGGCAAGAAATTCACCTCTCCAGGCTACTACCATGCAATTATGGATGAAAAAGTGTCTTTATTACTTCACTAAGTATTGGGATCTGCTCTGCAAAACTAATGTGGTTAAATAATATATTATTTTACCCTTTTCCAGTGGGTTTAGGACCACTTACCTTTGAAGGTAACCACCTCTCCCGTCTGTGCTTTGGGTAGGCCTTTCTGACAGGCATCTGTGGTCAGTGCCAAAGTGACCCCACAGCTGCCCAACAAAAACCCAATCTGCTGGCTCCCAGCATCCTGGGACAGAAACCAAAATTCACTGTCAAAAAATGCCCTGCTTGTCTCTAACTCTGTCCATCATTTTAGTAGCAAAGCTCTTTGCATCCAAAAAAGCAAAAAAACCTAACAACTAGTGTAATAATCTGAGGACAGAACAGAAAGTAACTTCACAAATAATGAATAAATTAAATAATTATAACAGCATCAAACAACAGTAACTGAAATATAAATTGACATTTAAAAAAACATATTTAAAAAACAGTGAAAGAATAAATAATACTTGGATATTTGTTACCATCAACATTTTTACATAAGCACCAAACACTTATACTTCCTGTAAAGATTCTATAAAATGCTTCTTATAAAGATGCACAACTCATTAAATTTTTATCTGAATGACAAAAAAATTGTTTAAGATAACATCAGTATCATTATAATTCTACTGACTCAGTATATTTCAAAAGGTAATTCAACATAATAAAATTCAAAGCGATTATGACCATTAAATATATAATATTATATAATTAAATATTATAGACTTGCAACATATACTGCATATGTGATTATGAATACACACATAAGATAATTAATCTAAACTGGCTTATAAAAATCAGAAAATTAGTTTTATGAGCAGCACTGTGGTACTATAACACAAATTATTAAAAAAGAACAACGCTCTCTTTTTGCAATCTTAAAGCTCGTCATGGGCTAAATATGCTGGTGTCATCACAGTCCACAGACATGCAATTTGAAATTTAAGATGAAATAAAAACAAAATTAGGAAATATTCCAAAACCATCCTGATTTTTATGCAGTTATTCTTCCTAATAATTCAAATTATAAATCGGTAACATGACTGAACATATTTAATACAGATTATTTTGTTTTTTAAAAAAGGTTACTCTATAAACCTTAGTTCAATCTATAAACCTTGGAGGTATGCTTTTTCATAATAACAGGCATTCAAAGAATTGTAAATTTTAAAGGATTTTAAGAGCATACCTCTAAGCATACCTCTAAGGTTTATAGATTGAACAAGCATAAAGTGACAGGATCTTTGATCCTGTACTTAGAAGTTTACAGACATACATTTACTTACACACTCATTATTGTATTATCGTAATAATTTTAGAAACTGTAGATCTGTATAAATATTTAAGTCAGATTTCTCTGCTTATGATTTCACAGTTTCAATCATTTCATTTGAATATCATTCATTCCTGCTCTCGTTTAAATCAGTTCTATCATCATGATTTTACATTTCTCCAAAACTCCTAAGCCAACACACATACTTCTCTATGTCTTTAAATGAACATTTGATACTTTGGATTGAAATAAAAAAATGCAGATTTTATTACTAAAGCACCAGTTCTTTGCATATCAGATACATAGCATGGTGTTCACACTCTTCAATAGCTTTTGAACGCATGTCACAACTAGAGAAATAGCTTTACATATCCCACAGAGCTCTACAGTCCTTTATACATCCCTTGCTGTGCAGGGAAGTGGCATAATTAAAACATGTATGGGATTAAAGGTAAAAACACCACAGCTCCACTTTCTTGTCTTCAGGGCTTTAAATGTCTTGCTGTCTCAAAACATCTTGTGGTGTTGTCTAACTTTGCAACTAAATGTCTGTACTCTTCCTTCAGAGATTCTGATAAAGAACAGTTCAGAACCAAATCTAAAGTTGTGGTATACAACTTGCCCTTACATGTCTCCCATGCTGCTCTCCTTCCATTGCATACCATTGCTGAGTAAGCACACTATAGAAAGCGGGGTGCCACCTGGTTTGCAGATGATGAAAGTCTGAAGCTCTCCTCTGATGCCATGTTAGAGGAACAATCTGAAGAACTATTTTTTGTGGGTTAAACATTTTAAAGGACAATCTAACCATATACATTTAAATCAAGGAGGTCCATACTCAAAAATAATGTACTGATCTTGTTCTGTAAATGTACAATTTTACCTGTTGAGATCAGTGTTGCACTATAGTACTGTATAATTCATAGTAGTTTATTACCTTTCTTGTAAGTGGTACTTCAATGGGAACCGGCACTAGCTCAGCCAGAAGACAGCCATAAAATGCCACAATGAACATCACAGGGTCATTATTAGGAAATACCAAAGCAACCTATAAAAAAGAAAACAATACCATTTCTTCCAAAAAGCCAAAATTACCTGTTTCAGCCTCAGTCATTTAGGTTTCATACAGCTTTCAGATCCTTCTATGGCCTCTTTAACGTTTCGGTCAGCATCACTGTTTCAAGATGTAAAACTTGTCATTTGACATTTAAAATGTGAGAAGGGTAAGAAGCCGACACAGAAAGGTCAGTGATTTCCAAAGTGGTAGTATAGCAATGGGTGCCACCAGGGCACGATATTTTAATGCCATCTCAAAATTAAGATAAAAATCCTTAACTTGTTGTCATTTGAGCTCCAGGGTCCAATACATATTGACAAAATATTTTAATATACAATGTTGGCCTGGAATAAAGGACACACTTAAAGTGCCTTTAAGTTCAAATGCAAGCCGGCTTTTGTAAAGAGACATATTGATTCAATAAGGACAGACTAATGCAGGTGAATGGAGTAACTGAGAAATAATTTGTTTTCTAAAGTAAGGCAAAATAATTATGGAATGTCTAAGAGCTGACTGAAATGCTAGTCACAATTAAAACTACAACTATGTGTTCAACCCGATCTGTATTTGGCAGGCACTACAGTCTAATATCACATTGATGCAAAAATCTCCCAAAATTAATCTAGCCTGAGATGGTAACTTTACTAGTTTACCTTTCAACATATTACTTTAACTTTAAAAGGAAAAGCTGCATAGCTACTTAAATCATATTCCATCACCTGAAACATTGAATTTGTTAGAGTAAATATTACAGATAGTTATAGCTATATGTATTAAACCTGGCTGACTAAATTATATCATAATGCAAGACAGAAGTTAATGTAGACCTTGTGTGTTTTTGTGCAAACAAGATACAGTTGTATATGCTGCAACATAAAATGTACTAAAACATTCAGTTTACAGAGAAGAGTTAAAGATTTTAATTCATGTAATTAAAACTAAAATGGCAAAAACGATACAAGTTTTTTTCCAACAGTGGATTACTGTACAGTAGTCTATATTATAAAACTTTATATTGTTACAGCTTTCACAGACAGAGACTGTCACACAGCCACCAGCTCCACAGCAACAACCCTCTACAACCAAAGGAACTACACCTGAGAGTGAATCTCAGATTCCTGCACCTTCACCTGGCTTCCACATGCCTGACTGAAGAGCCCCAGCTGACAGTGGACAGCAGCAGCATAAGCTGTCTGCCTAAAGCTGGCAGTGGTGACTGTACCAGCGTCAGTAGTGTGAGCTCTGGGGTCCCTATGCTGACAGGAGTGACCAGTGAATTGGACACAGAGGAAGACTGCAAGCAGCCTGTGTTATTCCTAAACCAGAGCCTTGTCGACACCCTGTCTATAGATGAGGACTGGGTGAGTTCCGAGACAATGCAAGAGCAGGGCAGTGGCTCTAAAATCTGCGTTGGCAATTTAAAGACTTTCTGCAACAGTGGTGCAGTTTTCTTTGCAACAAAGCACTAATGTCTTTATATTAGATAATGTTAACAACAGTATCTGCACCTTTGTTGCAATTTAAGGATTTTTTTTATTAAAGAGTGAATTTCAGTGGTTCAAACTAAAGAGCTTATTTTGATTATGGAAGTGTTTTGATAATGGGTAAAGGACACCTCTGTTTGTCTTTATTGAGTTGAAAAAACTGTGGACTATAGCCAACAGTTTTGGTTTGTCACTGAACAGTTTGTGAGGCACCAGACGTTTGTGAGCGACACTTCTGGGAAATCTGTCACCTTTCCTTCACCATTTAATGACCTCTCTACTTCATAAGTTCACTTTATGAAACCCATAATTGAGGACAATAATTTTTAAAAGGTGGGTATTGTTACATCTTTAGGAAGTGTCTCTTGGATTTTAGATAACGTTTGTGACACTTGACAGAGTAAACACTTCTAGCTTCAAAGACTAAAGAATGTTTACTGAGGTCTGGGACCAGAAACAATTGTAAAGTTTACTTTAGTATACCTAGGTAAGTTGTGGGTTAATGATTGTCAAGGAGCACCACAGAAACACACAATATAAGATCACATTAAGACAAGAAAAAGGAAGAAACAAGAAGCAGGGCACAAGGAGAGGAGAGACAAGAGCCCAGAGGAGTTGGGACTTGAAGGTTGTACCAGGCGAGAGCCCCTACTTCATGATCATCCAAAACAAACCTGACTAGAGCTACTGTAAGTACAGTATTTAAGCCTTTTAGAGAGAGCATGTTATTCTGTGTTTGTTGGGAACTTGGGGTTCCTGGATAAAAGATACCTCAGTTAGAAACTTCTATCCTGCTTAGGGTGCATTTTTATGGACAGGGATATAGGATCCCATTTATTATGTGGCATCTGGGGTGAAGAGAGAGAGAGGTTTCTTTGTATTTAGTTAAAAAGGCAGCTTATCTCCAACTGTATGTGGCCTCTGTAGGAATTAAGAGTTTAAGCTTAATAATAATAATAATAATAATAATAATAATAATAATAATTGCTTACACTTATATAGCGCTTTTCTGGACACTCCACTCAAAGCGCTTTACAGGTAATGGGGACTCCCCTCCACCACCACCACCAATGTGCAGCATCCACCTGGATGATGCGACGCCAGCCATAGTGCGCCAGAACGCTCACCACACATCAGCTATCAGTGGGGAGGAGAGCAGAGTAATGAAGCCAATTCATAGATTGGTAGCAGTCGGGGGTTTTTTGGGTGACTAGAATGTTAGGCATTCTAAAATGCACTGTTTGTGAATAATGTACATAGAGTAACTTTTGTGTTGCATGTTTGTGTTGTGTGTAGTGTAGTTTGTCTTGTCATTGTAATAAATATTTGTTTAACAAAGCATGCCTGGATTATTAATCCTCTCAACAAAGATGTGCCAGAGAATAAAGAATTCACATGCCTCTAATTATACAGCCTCTTGGGTATATTCTAGAGCAGTGGTTCTCAAACGTTTTGGACCAAGTACCACCCCTGATCAAACTAAAGCATCCAAGTACCACCTACAAGTCATCTTCTCATAGGAACCACAGAAAATCTCTATGACCAACATGAGCACGCACGAGCACACACTCACATACATATATAATAAAAATAGCACTGAGCACTTACCATTTCAGTGAGAGGGGTGACCCTGTTTAGTCGAGCAAAGCAGATGTGAATTCATTGGTTGAGCCTTGATACAATTTACAACTTTGACAGCAGTCTTAACAGGTTTTAAATCCTCAGGCATTTTCTTGACTGCCAAGGCCTCGCGGTGGATGCTGCATTGCGTCCACTTCATACCTGGAGCAACCTCTCTAATTCGTGCAACTCCACCACTGTGTCTGACTGTTATCACTCTAGCACCGTCTGTACAAACTCCGATGCAGTTGATGCCATTCTCTTCATTAAATTCATTCAGAAGCTGAATTATGTGCTCTCCTGTATTTCTTGTTGGTAGCGGCTTATGGAACAGAAAGTCCTCATGGGACGTGGCCTCAAACTCATATCTACCGTTAACGAGCAAATTGGCCAAATCAACGACATCTACGGACTCATCTAATTACAGTGAAAAGCATCTGCTCATCTTAACGCACTTTATCAGCATACTTTTGACATCATCTGCCATATCAATAATTCTATAAGTGACTGGCATTCGAAAGGGGTAGCAGGTCAAGCTGTTTAGCAGCTTTTTCTCCACACATAATACATGTCAGCTCTTTTGCCAACGGTAAAAAAAGTTATTCACAAATAGTGTGGAGCTTACCTGCTTTAGCAATCCTCAATCTTTCTCTGTTTCTGTTTCACGAGTTGATCTCAGAAGTTAAAAAAAGTTTCATGCGCATGGGAGCGAAACACATAGATGCTCGTGTATTTTTCTCAAATTAACCTAGAACAGTCCTTTTTCTGTTATCTATCATGCTTTCCTGTGCTCACAAGATTGCAAGTGTTCCAAAACCATGCACATTCTCCTACCTCCCTATTTGCTGGAGATAAACTTTTTTTAAAATACAATTGGCCACTTACGTTTGTAGCACATATTCCCATACAAGCGCACACTATATTGTAGTACATAGGCTGCATATTTCACACATAAACTCATGTTATTAAAATAGAAAATATGAAAACCCAGCCCAATTTTTCAGTGCAGACAACAAATTTCCAGAGTCATCTGGCGTACCACCTGGGGGCGCTCTGTGTACCAGCAGCGGTACATGTACCACAGCTTGAGAACCACGGTTCTAGAGAAATCACTTACAAGTTGGAGGTTATGAATAATTACTTCACTTATTGACTAAACTGCTCGGTCAATTCCTGATTTTCACCATTTTCATAAACCCCTTCTAACAATATGAAGTCATTAAATTCACTATTGATAATTGTACAGGCTTTTATCTGTCACCTTTCTTACTAAATTATTTTATTAAATTATTAGATACAAATTATTGGATTTCAGCCTGTTGAAGGTACTTGTATTTCACTTCTGCAAGCAGGGCAAAGGATGACTATTAAGTTCAAATAGGAACATTAACAATTGGTTGTCTAAAAGTGAGTGAAATTCCTACTTGAATAGTTTTAATTAAATTAAAGGTTTTATTACAAAGCTCCATGAGCTTTATGTTGCTTAGAGAAATAAATAATTGTAATGATCACTACTGAATGTTAATTGTAAAGTTTTTTGGGCTGGTGCTCTACCTCTGCATTTGCATTTTTTTGCTGTTCAGTTATTGCATTGCACAGCAAGATGACTACAATCCAAGTATGCTTTTGGAAAATACATGAGCATGTAGGGAAATGTCAAAAAGCAACATGGTTTACACAAATAATAATAAATATTATTTAATAATATCTTTGTTTTCAGGTTGTTTCAGTTTGTTACTAGGGAAGTAGGGAGGTGGGACAGAGCTGTGTTCAAAAAGCAAATGGTGTTTTGAATCAGGAATACACTGTCCGCAAATCACAATAACCTGCAATTGGATAGAAAGATTATATATATTCATCTAAAAGATTTTCAGCACTGCACAAGTTCAAGCACTAGGGGCACGGGGTTCAAGTCCAGACCTAGAAACTTATCTGTGTGGAGTTCGTATGTTCTCACCGTGTTCGCTTGGGTTTTCTCCGGGTGCTCCGGTTTCCACACAGTCCAAATACATACTTATAGGTTAACTGAACTCTGGCCCTTGGTGTGAATGTGAGTGTGTCTGTGTTTGCTTGTGTGTCTGCCCTGCGATAGACTGCCATCCCATCCAGGCTATACCCTGCCCTCAGACATTGCTTTCAGAGATATGCTCTAGCTTTCCCACGATCCTGAATTGGAAGAAATTGATAGAAAAAAACATAGATGGATTTTCAGCACTAACTGAAGGACTTCAACTGCATTTTTCCAAGACGTTTAGAGAAAATTTCCAGGATATTTAGACTTTAGACTAAATATTGAAAATAAATATTTTTTTTAACCTAATCCAGTCTAGTCATTTATCTTTCTGCTAGAAAGGCCACTTCTGTGAAGATCTCAAAGTCTCACTGTACTTTAATTAATTTAAACCCTCTTGAAAGAAGAATACTAAATCTATGAGTGTCAGTACATCTATTTCACTGAAACACTGTGTGATCCTATCAAAGCAAAATATTTAAAATATTCTACGTTTATGAGATTATTAGATGTGTTGATTTATCAAGGAAATTAACTACACTGTGCAATCAATCTCAAAATGATTTAGTAGGGTGTTCTCATTAGACAGAGCTTGCTTGCTTCAAGTGGACCAAGCAGCTTTGGTTGGAAGCACATACACGATCTCCTGGACGTAGAAGTGGCTCATTCTTGGTGCTTAGTTTATTCAGTAATGTGAAGGCCAGCTTCAGGCTCCTGCTCCATAGCTTTCCTGCAAAACAGGAAATGTACTTTTAATAAAGAAAGATAAAGATGCCACCCATAATTACATTGTGACACTCTATCCTGGTTAACAAGAAATGCTCACCTTCTTCAAAGCCCTTTCAATACTGAAAGTGGCAATTTATTTATTGAAAATCCCTGTATTTCTCAAATTTGCAAAGCACACACTGTTAAAGACTTAATGTTAAATAAGTCTACAAAAAAATATGTTGACTCTTTCCATATCCATTTTGCCATACACATGCAGCAAGTTTTTATTATTTAATATATTTACCACAATAATTATTTTGCTACATATGACTGATTGCTAGATTCGTTTTTAAAAGAACAGGAAAGAAAGCAACAATTCAAAAACAATTTGGCTCTGCACTGTTACTGTGATATTAGCTCTAGTGGCTTATCTAGGTTTTCATGAAAGGATGGTGCAGAAAACTCAAAAACAGAAAATATTTTCTTTTTTTATGTGTCAAGGTACCTGTGTAAGGACTATCAGGGATTTTTATGCCATAAGAAAAAGATTGCATAATCACTTGGATTCAGCACATTAAATGGTACTTTTACAAAGGGAGCTACAAGGATCAGAGGGGTGAGAAGGAATGCAGGATTATAGGTGAGGAATCTGGGAAAGGAGTGACGACGACACGTCACTCACACCAAAACAACATTAGGACTGCTGGAAGTAGTCTGGAAGGTCTCAGACTACACAACCTAGTCTGGGGACAGTGAAGTTAAAATTGTTATGTTTGCTATATACTCAAGCAATTCTGATTTGAGATTAAAAGATGAATATGAGGAAAAAGAAAAGACTGTTGCCTTTTATTTCTGAGTATTTCTGTGCTTATTTGTTGTACCTTCATTTTTGTGTTCAATCCCTCCATTTCATTTGAGCACAAATATTAGAACAACTGGCTACCAGGTGTTTCAGGTTGCACTAATCATGCACAAATAAAAACTGTGAATGTGTAGTGCTGAATTTAACCTTTGCTCATCCCTTTGGTGTCTGCCTAAATAAGTATGAAGATTTGAGTAATGTCTATGAAAGAAATGCAATCATTTTGGATGCTGAGAAAAAGAAGATTCAATCAGATCTAACCACAGAAACGGGGCATAGCATAATCAACAATTTGGGATGCCTTGAAAAGAAGCTACTGGTGTACTAAGCAATAGGCAATGACCAGGTTGGCCTAGGAAAAAAATTGCAGTTGATGATAAAAAAAATTATTAGAGCTGTGACAAAAAGCTCTAAAACAACTGTTGCTGAAATCGCCAAAAATTTCCACTGCCCAGGGGTAAAGGTATCATAATCTATTATTTGCAGAAGACTGACAGCAGAATTATGAAGATCCCATTAATTAAGCAGGCCACTACAGTCTTTGGCATGTAAGATACTGCTGAATCCTTAGGTACGCTGGTCAAATGTTCCGAGGTCAAATTCTTCCAGGAGGGGGGTACCTTTAAAGCGGAGACGATGGCACTGAAAATGCCGTCCTCACTTTAAAGCCCTGGACAAATACGAAGACAGTACGTACAGCTATAATTCAAACTGAATTAAAAACTACACATCCCATTTACCATGGTGGTGCGTGTGATCATTGCGTTTGACCAATGAAACAGGGCGAAAAATTAGTCACATGACTTTGGGGCTGAGTTTTGAAAGCTTAACCTATCAGCAACAAAGCAAAATCTACACAATAGGCTACATCAAGCTGTCAGTAACACGACTGTGTGTGTCGTTTAAGCCACTCCTATTTGGCATTTTAGTTTTGGAGGCGGGAATCATAATTTCGACCTAGGTCTAAGAAATGAACAGGAAAAAGAATATTTTCAGTGAGTGATTAGTTTGCATGTACAGAGGATCATTAATAAGAAATCCCGCTTAAGAAAAAGTGAAAGGGAAGATTTTGACCGCCAGATTTTTGCTCTGCCCCTAGTAAGAAAGGAGAGCAGTGAAATTTCAGCTGCAGAAGATGCACAGCAAACAGCTAGCACTAGCTCTGCTTGTGAGGTTAGATCAGGAATGAGTGAATTAAGTGATGTAAAGTGCACTAATGAGGTGGTTAGTGAATTAGGAGCACAGTTTAAAAATGTGCATAGATTAATGGAAGAATGCAGGAAACTAGGTGATGAAAGAACTAGGTTAGACAAGAAAAAAAAAGAGAGGACTTATGCTTTATAAGGCTGAAACTGAAATTCAAGCTCTCTCAAATAAATTAAGCAAGGCAAATGAAAAGTTAGGACATGGAAGTGTAAGGAATGTGAATAAAAGGCTTAGATGCAGGGATAGTAAAATTTGGACACTTGAGCACAAAGTTGTGGAGTGTGAGCAGGCAGTCATTTTGAATGAACAGGAGAAAAGTGAGTGAGAGAAGGATAAGGCACAGCTAGAGAAGAGTACTGATGAATTGCAAGAACAGTTGGAAAAGCGTAGATATACAAAAAAAAGGAATCGCAGAAGTTTGCATATTATAAAAGGAAATGTGATTCTGAATCAGATTAAGCACATAGGGTAAGGGACCTGAATGAGGAGGTACAGGGAGAATATGAAGGCTTGAAAACAGAAATAGACAGGATAGTGAGTCACAATATTAGCATGTATGAAAAAGGCAAGTATAGTGATGCTGTAAGAGAGGGTTATATGGATTTAGTAGCAAACATGGGTGTTAGTGCACGAAAGGCTTCTCAGATAGTCAGACTAGTTTTTGATAAATTGGTAGGTAATCAGGTAGATAGATTACTAGGGGAAAGTTTTTGTAAATATCTTGTGTTAGAAGCGAGGCAAGTTTCTACATCTGAAAGAAAAACTGTTGCAAGAAAGTAATGTATCCCTTGCCACAGATGGGACCACTAAATATGTTCAAAAATATGGAACTGCAAGGATTTCTTTCCAGGATGGTAGCAGAATCCATTTAGGACTCAGAGAGCAGGCATCGGGTTCAGCTCAGTGCATATTTGACACAGTTAGAGAGATGGTGCAAGATGTTGTTAACAGTGGAAGCAGGGATTCGGCAACAAATTCGGAGAAAGAAATTTTCTGCAAAATTACAAATCTAATTAGCAACAGGGCAAGTACAGAAATTCTGGCGCAGTACAGAACTGATATCTTGCCTGACATTGTAGATGGATTTGATGACCTCAGTGAAACAGACAAGGCTAGGATCGGAGTTATCAATGAGTTGTTCTATGGATTACATTTAATTGATGGCTTGGCAAATCAGGCAAATGTTACACTTTCTGTCTGAGAAAGAATGATTTTTGGTGGTGAAAAGGTGAGCAGTGTTAGTTTAGATTGGATGCACAGAACAGTAGGAGAGAGTGGTGAAGTTAGATTGATTAGATCAGTGTGCAAAGCCGTCCATGAAAGAGGGTTTGAGAAAAGTGGCAAATCTGTGCAGTTTAGATCTTTTTTGTTGAGTCAGGAGAAATCTGAGCATGTCCCTCTGGTTCCCTTTAAAGGAAACCGAATGAATGCAGCTGGAGTTTATTTTTTGCATGCTGAATTGCTGGAATTCATGCATGATATACGTAATGAAAATAAATTAATAGGAGCAGTGTTTGAGGATTTGAGTTTGGTCAGTTTATTGCAGGATGCAGAGCACTGGGAATTATTTGTAAATTAGTGACAGAGCCTTTGTGGAAAGCTCTCGGGAAAAAAAGAGCATGTTTTAGAAATGAATGCAAGATACAGGGAGTTAGTGTGCAAACTGAAAGAATGGCAGGCTGATAGCAGTAAATTAGTCAGAGGTGAGGTATGCTTGTTTATCGACATAGAGGTATATTCTGGACCTGTTCTGCAGAAGCTAACAGAACACAGGAGCCCTGAATTTGAGGACATGACTAGACAGGCTGTGGAACTGATCCTTGCTAGTTTTGTAAAGGTGTGTTGAGAATGGTAGCAGATCATTTAGAATATGGCAGTGTAGCGGCGAGGCTTATTAATAAGGCAGAATTAAGTGTTTCTGAGCTTTCCCAAATTAGGCCTCATCTCTCTGTTCATCTCTTTGGTGCAGCCACAGAAAAACTATTCATGCAGGCTGATTTAA